TAATAATTTAAAAAAATCAAAAAAGAATGCTCCTTAGAAGCAAAGATGGTAAGACTTCATGTACTTTGGACATATTTGCAGGTGGTCAGTCCCTGGAGAAGGATAGTATGCTTGATAAAGTAGAGTCAGCAAAGGAGTAGAAGAGAGTAACAATTAATTGGCAGAGTAGAGACTGAGAATGGCACAGGACTGGACAGAATTTTGTTCTGTTTTGCACAGGGGAGCTGTGAGTTGGAATAGAATGTATGGCATCCAATAACAATAATAAAGGTGCTCAATATCATCAGTCATCAGAGAAATTAAAATAAAAACCATGAGACAGCATTTCACACTTGCTAGAAATATACTTAAAGTAATGACAATACCAAATATTGGTAAGGATGCTGAAGTATTGGTTCATTCATTGATGGTGCAAGTTTAAGATAGTACAAATACTTTGAAAACAGTCTGGGTATTTCATATAAAGCTATACCTTCTTGAAAATATTTGCCCATAAAAAAGATATGTACACTAATGTTTATAGCTTTAGTCATAGTAACCGAAACCTAGAAAAATCTAAGTGTCTGTGAACATGAAAATATATAAAACAAACTATGGTATTAGAATACAAAAAAGAAACCACTGGCAATCAGCAGACCAGGTGCAGAGTGAGCCAAGTGCAGAGCAAGCCTCAACAGGGAGCAGCAAGTCATGGCAGGACCCACCTACCAGAAGTAAGTCGAACAGCAGGAATTTGAGTGAGGTATTAAGTGGGGGATCACTGCTGATTGCTGGACCAATTGTGGGACCCCTTCACCTTAAGTAGGAGGGAGTGAGACAGTTGGACCTTGACTGGGGTGGCAGACCCAGTTCTCAAGGGGAAAAATAAGGCTTCATGCTTTTTCCATTCAGGTCCCCCCTGCACACACCCCTGCCTAACCCCCAAGTGCATCTGTTTGTGCACCCACCCTATGAACATCTGCGCAACATGCCTGCTCAACCTTCTTCTGGAGCCGTGACATCAGATTAAGAACCAGCTATCACCTCACGCATGAAAAACTCTACCACAGAAATGTCACAAAAGAAGCAGACTACCTCACTTCCTACACAAGCCCAAAGCAAGATACCACCCCCAAAATATGACACAGTATCAATGAATTTCCTGAAGCTATAAAGTCTGATGGATCTTAGCTGAAAGCAGAGAATACCAGAGGAATGTCTATCT